TTTAAAAAAAAAAAAAAAAGGGTAAATCTTGCTTTATTTCGATTTCTTATCCCAAGAAAAAGTAGTAAAATAAATAGCATAGACCGAAATGAGTTCTACGTAACGTCACTCACCAGGTGTCAGTCAACTCACAAGAAACAGGGCAAGAAAAGGAATAGAAGACAATATACATAATTTAAGGTTGTATGCATCTGCCTATCGTTTCACCACCCGCTGATGTCACACGACTGAGATGCCTTGCATCGCTTGTTTACATTTGAATATTGTAAAACATCAATGCGAAATTTTGCGAAATTTGTGAAAATTGGGTATTGTAAAACATTAGAAAATATCAAAACCGAGATACAGATTTGAAATTTCAGCGTACTACCTTCCGATTTTTGGCATTCACATGAATGATTTTAATTCGTCTAATGAGTAAGCTCTACGTACGGAAGAATTTAACAATGTAATGATAGGCAGAAAATAAAAAGAATGATACGCATGGACCTTGTCTAAAACAAGATTTATTAAGCCACGAAAAATTAGCGTTAGGATGCAATTCATACGATCCTAATGTGAAAAACAATTTTCTAATAACTTTAAATAGTTAACAAGATTTTGGTATTTATATTTTTATCATTATTTGTTATTTATTTATATGATATTATCAATCATTTTCAATTGTTTTTTTATAGAACAATCAGGCTATGCAAAGTTAATTAATTGCTTTAACAAATTGCTTCTTGTAACCCGGCGGGTAAATTTTTGCAAAAATTTTATTTAGAAAAACTTTTAAAATATATTCAAAGTTCGACAAAATGGTTATCTTATTCTTAATGCATAGCATTGATGCTTGAAATTTAATTTATTTTTAGGCTTCCTTTGTTCACGTATTTAAAATATCAGGTAAATTCTCGCAAATTTTAATTACATGATACAAATAGTAGATGCAACCGGTTTTTCTAATTTTATTTCACTTGCATTTATTTTTAGTTCTAGGAGTTGAAATACGTTCTAGGTTGGTGTCTATGCACGTTTATGCAATCTTTAAATTTCATTTATATTTATTCACTTAATATTCTTTTTAGTGTAAGAACGGAAATATATTCCGTATTCATCTATTGATATAATGTCACGTGGCGACTCCGGGTATATGAGTTATGACTCCATTTATGGTCTTAAATCAGATGGAAGTAGCCGTGATAATTACGAAAAATTTGATGCTTATAATGATTATGTTGAAGATGGTCAAAGCACGCAAATTTCAGGACATGATAACAATTTTAATGAAAATGATCTAAATGAACACACATATTACACAACGTTTAATAATTCCACAAACATTGATTATAAATCTAATTATAACCAGCGCATGTATGCGCGTTCTCCTTCATCCACACCATCACCTTTAAATCCTCCATTGGAACATATAGAAAATAATGGCATCGTTCTGGGTTCACATCAAAGAGTAGTTCATAGGTCAACAGCGTCAAAAAATAACAATACTTTGGGATCTCCAATGTTTCCTCCTCCACTTCCACAATATTCTCCGAGATTATCACCAATGCAACATCCGAATAATAATTCTCCCACATTCAGACCGCCCCCATCACCAAAACTTTTTCCAAGAGGTTCATCACTGAAAGGAAATGACAATAATGTAGTACCGATTAACTCACGGGATCGATTTAATAATCATACTTCATTGCCTGCCACAACAAATAGACAGCGTCCACAGCATGTTAATCATCGCTCTAATACGCATGATGGCCAGATACAGCTTCCTCCTCTTCAACAATTTAATTCACAAATTCTTCCTAAATCCGATGAATCGCCATCTTCGCCGTATGATTTTTTTGATTTAATTAATGAATATTCTGAATTTACCAGTATATCTGAGAAACCTGAAAAACCTAATACACCTAATATCGATAAAACACCCTCGCCACAAGAAGGTATATATTAATATTGTTATACTTTATTTAATAGAACTAAAGGTATTACATTATATTTTTAGCAAAAAACCGAAAACGTGATGCCGCTGTTACCGAAATCCTTACTACTGAACGAACTTACGTCGATGGTCTGAGAAAACTTGTGAATTTTTTCTTAATACCTTTACGAGAAAACTATAAATCTGCTCAAAAAAGCATCTTGTCTACCAAGCCTCTTGCTACATCCGAGGATATTGCATCTTTATTTGGTAATATCGAACCATTATTGTCATTTCATGAAGAATTATTGAAATTTTTAGAAGAAAGGTACAAACTTTATATATAACTCCTTCGTTGGTGCATTTTATCTAAGTATTTATATTTTAATTAAATTTTCTCATTGATGACATAGATATAAAAAATGGAGTCCAACAGAAAAGATCAGCGATATATTCTTACAAAACGTAAGTAGATAGATTATTACAAAAATAATTTTTAATATTTTGAATATTTAGATCAAAGTGTTGTATTAAGTGCAATAAATCAAAATTTCATTATGCACCTTATCACCAATCTACCCGTTTCACATACGATTTCAATTCTGTTTATCATATATGAGAGTTAACAGTATTTATTTTATTTTTTTTAATTATTCAATTCAGGCACCTTATTTAAAAATGTATAGTGCTTATTTAAAAGGTTTTCCGCAAGCCATAGCAACTATGGAGCGTCTCAATAAAGAGAGTAAAGATTTTAAAAAATTTATTCAGGTATTCATTAATTGTCATTGAAATCATGATAGTTAAATATTCATTTAATATTAATGATGTATATACATCCATTTATGTGTTATCAGAGTTGTCAAGGAAAACCAGAGCTAGGAAATTTACCTTTCAATTCTTTTTTAAGTTTGCCAATTCAACGAATACCTCGTTACAAGTTATTGCTAGAGGCTTTGTTAAAACACACCGAGAATACACATCCTGACTATATAAATCTTGAACAATGTGTACAGCAAATTAGTTTGATTGCCGAGGAAGTTAATGAAAAGTATGTTAAGAGTCGTTCTTCGTTGTTTTTTAAAATTGTAAAACTAATGGTTATTTATTTATAGAATACGAGATGCTGAAAATCAGCAAAAAGTATTAGAAATTCAAAACAAAGTCGAAAGACTACCGGACAATATAATAGATCCTGCTCGAAGATTCATATACCAAGGAGATCTATATAAAGTTACCCAGCGATCGTCACCCGTGAGGCCATACTTCATAGCAACAGAAGATAGACGTGCCCATTTTTTATTTAATGATCTACTTCTTCTTTGCATAGAATTCCAAGGGAAGCTATTGTATACTGGACAAATTAATTTAAATAAATCATATCTGATTGATATTGATGATAATGATGCAGATCAACCTTTCTGTTTTCAAATAATCACTACAACAACGGAGGGAAGGGAAGCATGCCACACGGTTCGAGCTACTACAGCTGGGGAAAAAATGGAGTGGATTACACGAATTGATAATGCACTCAAAGCGCTGAAAAGGGGAATAAGAAATAATCCCGGTATAAAATAAAAAGGTAAGTTAATTTCATTCAACTTTTACCATTATAGTTATTTATTTATTATATTTATTCAGTTCTTTTTGAATTTTGAATTTACTGTAGACCTTGTTTTTTGTCATGTATTACCTACATAACATATTGTGCAACGGCTGCATTAACTTATTTAATATATATTTATAAACTTGCAATTTAGCTTTAATGTTTCAAATACCCAAAAATTGATAAACATTTCTATTGAATAGAGATTTAAAATAACAGGAGATTAAGACTACAAACTTTACATTTTGAGATCATGGATATCATTAATTGTGCCACATGAGCATCTGTATTTTACTATATATAGAATACGTGTATTTATAGAGGCAATTATTTTAAATACTTTTTTATTTAACAAGAATATTTATTTATTTGCTTATTTATTTATTTTAATGCATTAGCACCTAAGAGCAGTCATAGCAATTTTTTTACAAAACATTGTAGCATTTGTAATAAAAAATATATACCAGATATTGTCATCATGTAATGTTTACATGCTAGTGTAAACATTCAGAATATGCTAATATATAATTCTCTAATTTATCCTTATGTATCTATGTATCTACTAATAAATTTTATGAAAACTTAAGTTGCGAAATGACTTATTTCTTTTGAGATTTTTTTTTTTTTTTTTTTGTTTGAACAAAATAACAATTTGTAAACTAATTCTTTAATTTGTGTAGCTAGGCAGGACACAAAATTTCCGGGTGATGCAATATGCTTTTTTTCCGATGGAATTTAGAAACGCGTCCGGAAGCAGTAATAATTTTATTATACTTATTACAGTATTTAGCAGTTTATTATCAGTTATTAAACTGATGTTATTACATATTGATATATATTTCTGTTTTTCTTATTATACCACTCACTATATATTTTGTACCAATTCATTTCTTTACTTTCTTTTCCCTCCGCATAAATGCATCTAAAGTAGATGTATTTAAGGAAATACGCAAACGGGTTTAATTATATTTTGTTTAGAAAATCCGCGTTCGCAATCCACGCTAGAAAAAGAAATACTAACAGCAATATGAATTAGTTTAATTATATTTGGAAAATTTTCCGAATAATCAGATTAAAACATGAAGCAATTGTTGCGAAGAAAATGATAAAAAATTTGGATACTATTTTTAAAACCCGGCCATTCTAATCCACAAAAACTTGAATCTATTAGATGAAAATTTTTGCCCATTAATAGTTTTGGTTGTTTCATTAAAATTGCAATTCCTCATAACCAAAATTTAACAGGCCTTCCTAATTCTTTGGCCATTCCACTGGGTTTAAAATTTTTATTGCTGCAAGTCTGAAAAATGTTCTTTAATATGTGTAATAATCACTTGTATATTCATATATATCATATAATAGATTATTGTCCGAAGCGTAGCTGAGGACACTATACTTCTAGACATTCCTGTTATTAATGTATAGTTATGCTCAAAATACCATATACTCCTCCTTACCATTTTTGAATTTCGTTAACGTTAACCAGAGTACAGTCCAATAAAAGTAATGATAATTGTGGCTTAGACCAGCTGCGCCATAAACCTAGCACACATTCAAGAGATGCAATTTCACATATGATGTGACGATCGCTGGGTTCTGTGTTCTTGAAGTGTCCCGATTTTTCTTTACTTTTATAAAGAAGTTGCTTAATATAGAAGTATCAGAGCAGTTTTGCTTCGTGTCATCACAGGAACGAATCTCGATTAAAGTCACATGTTCGATTAATTATCTATCTATAACGCGATAGTGTCGAAAAAGATTTTTAAACAAGTAAAAAATTATTTGTTTACCAAACTAAATAAAGCATAACTTTCATTATTAATTATTTTTATAATTACTGATACATTAAAAAAATTTCATAAGTTTATACGATAACTCGAATTCGAAGCTTTAAAAAAAGTTTATATTGTTAGTGATAGTGATGCACATTAGTCATCGAACAAATTGCTCGAAGTCCAGGCCACACCACGAGGAGGTTTGCATCATGTGACCCAAAGGAGTTTAAATTTGTGAACTTAAAAAGAAAAAAAAACAAATCTACAAAGAAAGAGTGTAATAAGACAAAAGTGTATTCGATTATTCTTCAATTCATTTATTTCCCGATCTTTTAAAAAGATCTCGAAATGATAAAATACGATACCGATGGTGTACCAAGTCATCGGTAAAGTGATTCGCATTTTTCGGCGTCTGATAGCGAATCAATGGTAATAACAGATAACCGTGACAGTTTGACCATTTTGTCCACACTTTTATGGATCATTTTGTCACGACGTTGTTTATATTAGTTCATACCGTAACTTCCCTTCTTTGAAAACAACGAAACAAATAAGGGCCGTCTATGAACTAGTTTTCCCCCAGGGACAAGACAATCTATCAACCTACTAAACCTTGCTAATATTGCTCGCTATGGCAATTTTATGCAATCTAAGTACATCGGTTTTTCGGGGGTAGGTTGGTTCTTTGCTTTAAGAACCAACAAGAAAAAGCCCGGTTTTAACGATAACCGGATTATCGTAGCACTATAAATGAAATAAAAACAAGATATAATATTAAATATCTAAGCATAAAAATAAAGCAAAACATAATATATATAACAGAAATAAAAAAAAAAAAAAAGTACCTATCAGCTATATAGCTGTAATTTCAACTTCGAGACGCGAGAAAACACGATGCTGAAAAAAAAAAGAGAAGTTGAAAGTGCGACCACATAGGACGACTGATCAGTAATTCACCCGGACAGACCGGAATCACCGAAGCAACCTAACTTCTCCAAACCTATGTGGAAGTGGGCGGTACAACGAAAAAATAACGTGCGGAAGAGGAAAAAAGAACGGTGAGAAAAAGAACGATGAGAAAAAAATTGGTATATATAGTATGACATCATTTTTCGCATGACATCATTTCAGCATTTCGGGATCGTGAGAAATGCACCAATCAGATGATCTACACTAGAGTCACTGACTATCTGCTGCGACTGACCCGATAAAATTTCTAGAATTATGATAAATTATGTGATTTATGCGAAATATACGACCATTTAACGAAAAAATTAATGCGCATAATATCGCAAATAGGCGATAACCCTAATCTATACGAATCAAAAACAATCGAATATCAGATGTGCGCAATATTTTTAAACCTTAGTGATTTCATACACAAAATTTTGTTATCGGCAGTTTTTTAAAAGAAACTTAACGGAGATCTCATTTATGTCGCTTATGAAAAAGAAATCTGATTAGTGCATCTTTCATCAGATACCCGGAAATATTAATTTCATCGAATGTTTGAAATACTGGTATAAATCATCGAAAATTTTATTTCTAAATATTTCCAGGTTCATGGCTTACAAAAATACGATTAACGTATGCTTTATTCGATTTTGTCATATGCGATATTTTTTGAATACAGAAATGCTTTATTTAAAAATACAGATGCACAATAGTCATGAAATCTACTTACGTACGTACTATATACTTGATTAATTGTTGTAATTGAGCATAACCGCAGTTTTTTTTTTTATAGGAATCTTTATCTAAAAACAACACTTTAAATTTCAATTATACTGTATAAGTTATATATCTTGAATTTTTATGAAGTGGCTCTATATCAGCCATATTAGTTAGAACTTCATAAATAAAAAAAAAAAAACAGAATACAGTAAGTATATTTTGGTCCGTAAATTTAAACAAATGTAACTTATTTTTTAATTCTCATTAAAAGTCTGCAATTATTAACGTGACGTTGGGTGTCCAGTGTACTATGTAAATCAAATATGTGGGGGTGAGTCAATAGAAATCAAGCAAATTTTTTATAATAAAATCTTTTACAAATTTAAACAAGAATAACTTGACAAAAACTCAACCAAATTTAATAAAAATTTTTTTAAATAATTTTTACAAATTTGTAGAATTAATTTAAAAAAATTTTATTAAATTTGATCAAGTTTTTGTTAAGTTATTCTTGTTTAAAATTTTAAAAAACTTATTAAAAAATATTTGCTTGGTTTCTATTGACTCAACCCCATATGTATAGTCCTATATAAAAATCGAATATCAGATACAGTCAGACCTCCCTAAATGCACGTCGCTGGGACCATCTCTAGAGCATGCATTTAGGGAGGGCTGCAATTAGAGAACACTAATAAAATTGCAATGTTACTGTTAACATATGATAATGTGGCTTTAGTAACCTTGAAATAATAAATTTGATTGGCTGGTAGTCATGTAAATGCATTTATGGAGAGAGTTTTTATAAGTGGGCCAGACAGTTAGCGTGCACTTACAGAATAAAGAATGTGCATTTATCTATAAGTCCCACCATGGGCCCGAGCTTATATCATGTATTTAGAAGGGTGCTGCATTTAGGGAGGGTGCATTTAGAGGGGTCTGACTATATATAAATTTTTCATGTAATGAATATGTTGATCTATAGTAAACTACTATAAATTTTAATGAAAATTATTAATATTACTAAAAATTCTTAAAATTAATAGAAAAACTCTCTATTAGTTTAAAATACAGGTTCTGTTGAGTGATTAAGCAAATTTTTTAAGCTAGTTAATATGTAACTTTCAGAGGAGTTACAATTTAAAATTTGATAATTTTTTATAATTGTTTTATATAAGATTTTTATACTTTAAATCAGTCACATGATATGTCACATGTAAAATTTTTAAAATGATTGACACACCTAAATTTCATATGTAAAATTTAAACAAATTTTGCTTTCTTAGCTTATTTAGCAAGAAGAAGCTATTAGTCAAATTTCTGGGTTTGAGTTTGCAACTTCTTTAGCATTTGAAGATTCTTCTTGTAAAATTTTAAAGATGGTTTATAATAAAATTGAAAAGAATCATAGCTATGAAGTTGGCCAATTTTTTGATGATTTTTTTGTTTGTTTATAAGAGTTTTATAAGTGATACACATCATTTTACCAAAACAGGCAATTAGAACCATCAACTAAATTGATAGCC